CCCAGCTCCGGGAGGGCAGTACCTGGTGCTGGGTGACCTCGTGGGACACAAGCTGCTGCAGGAGGTGGAGGTGCACCGTGTAGCTGGGCTGTGAGCGGCTGGCCGAGGTGGCTCTCTGCAATGAGGCCTCTGTGAGCAGCTGGCCCACACCGGCGGCAGCCAGCCCCCGCAACCCAGCCAGACCACCGCAGGAGCTGGGCACAGTCACTAGCCCAGGACTCTACCTACCCGCTTATGGATGAGCTGGAACTGGAGGTGGCACTGGCCTCGGTCTGGGTAGGTCTCAGTGCGGGGTTCCAGGGGGTACCACTGGTCCTCTCGGCAGCGCAGGTCCTGGCAGGCGGGGATGCCCGGCCCACGAGTGTCAGAACCTCACAGTCAGGGGCAGCAGAGGCAATGGGAGGCGGACCCCAGGCTCAGCTTGGTGCTGACGAGGAGCCTCTCCCCAGAGCCCCTCCCAACCCCCTCCCTCTGCCTCGCTCCTGGACCCCTTTCCCCATCCCCCTCACCTGCAGCCTCAGAACCACATTCCCCAGAAAGTCGTCCTGGCCTTTGTCCTTCCGGGCCTCCTTAAAGATCCTGCATCAGGCAGGCTCCCGTGAGGGTGATGTTGCAAGCATTGGAAGGGATCAGGCTGGAATCTACCCTCCGCCGCAGCAACCTGGACCCCAAAGGCGCCTGCACCCCAGCACTCGGTGTGCATGTCAGGGGATGGGGGGCAGAAGGACCCCCACTCCTTCTCTGTGAGCCCTGCAACACCCACCTGCGAAGCCCATGCAGATCTGTGAGCTCCCCAAGCTTCTGTCGGACAGACTCCACGGTGTCTAGGTCCCTGGTTGGACAGATTTGAGAAGGAAGCAGAGAGAGTGCTTACGATCTCTTCCAGGAGGAGGTTCTGCCTCTTCACCCCACATCCTTTCTCTCCCTATCCCTAGGGGCAGGCCAGGTCACTCACCACATATCCAGATGAAAGCTCGAATTGGTGATGTCCTCAAACTCCCTGTATGGAGAGAAGGGCATGGTTGAGGGCCCTGGAGGGTGGATGCCCCCAGACAAAGCCGCAAGTGACCCTGGCCCAGAGCCATGGAGTCGCAGAGTTGTCGCCTATCCTGCCAAACTCCTTGACTCCCAGCCGCATCCCTGCCTCTTTTTTTTTTTTTTGAGATGGAGTCTGGCTCTGTCACCCAGGCTGGAGTGAAATGGTGCAATCTCGGCTCAGGGCAACCTCCGCCTCCCAGGTTCAAATGATTCTCCTGCCTCAGCCTCCTGAGTAGCTGGGATTACATGGATGAGCCACCACATCCAGCTAATTTTTGTATTTTTAGGAGAGGTGGGGTTTCACCATGTTGGCCAGGCTGGTCTTGAACTCCTGACCTCAGGTGATCCACCTGCCTCGGCCTCCCAAAGTGCTGGGATTACAGGCGTGAGCCACCGCGACCGGTCCTGCCTCCTTTAAGGTACGGCTTCAGGCACTCCCCAGACTCACCCACAAGGGCCCGAGACCCTCCTTGCCCCCAGCACGCGTGGCATTCATGTTGTTCTGTCCCATCTGACCTCCTATCCGTCTAACATGCCTCGAGATGGGCTCCTCCTCCAGTCTTTGCCCAGGGCCAAACCCCCTCCCCTGAGTCAGGAAGACCTACTCATCTCAGTGCCTGGGGGAGACCCTGCCACTCAGAGGAGACCCAGACAGAGTGGGGGCTGGGGCGGGGTTACCTACAGGATGAAGGTCTCATCCCAGACAGGGTTGAGCGTCTGCGTGACAACCTGCGTGCGGTGGGTCTGCTCCTCGGGGATGGTGTGCTTCACCACAGCCTTCTGCCGCCGCCGGGACCCAGGGCTGCCCCCTGGTGCACCCACCCCCTGCTCAATGCCCAGTAGGCAGTAGGGGTCGCTGAACCCTGGGGAGGAGTGGAGAAGACGAGGCAGCCAGGGAGTTGGCTGGGTCCAGGGGAGAGGCCCTCATCACCCCCTCCAGGGCTGAGCCTCCTCCTGGGGACAGAGAAGGGGACCAGCAGCATGGGGGTAGGGCAGCGCCACAGGGCTTCTGGGAGGTGAGTGCTCCCATCAAGAGTCCTGGGGCCAGGCTATGATGGCAGAGGAAGGAGCCAGGAAGAAGCCCCCAGGGAACCCCACCCCACGCTCACCACTGACATCTTTGCCCAGAATGCCCTTGGCCTGTTTCACTGTTGCCTTCAGACAAAATGTTGGCTTCTGGATGGACAGGAGGGGTGGCCTGAGTCCCTGAGGAGGGGTGGACTTCCCAGGCCCCTCCTTGCCCAGGGTGGCCCTGGTCCCCGGGTTACCTCGAGCTTCCTGACCCGCTGCAGCGCCTGCTGGTGCTCCTCCAACTCCATGTGGAAGGCCTGGTGGGGAGGCAGGTGGGTGGCTGGGGGCACAGGATGGGGCAGCTGCAGGAGGGGGGTGGGGGGGGCTGGGCTCACCTCCTGCAAGTATCGCAGCAGCTCAGAGGCCTCTGTCACATGGTTGGGCTCAGGCTGACCCAGGCGGTGCAGGACCGTGTAGAGCGCGTCCTCATAAAGCAGGGCCCGCTGAGACACATAGGGTCACCTTGGGAACCCCATCAGCCTCCCCGGGCACCAACACCTCACGCCAAGGGCAGGAAGGACAAGGGGCGGCTTGTGCAGTGGAGGGGGCTGAGACCCAGGAGTCCCCGCCCTACCACGAGCTGCTGCCATCAGCATCGGCCAGCAGGAGAGTGCACAGCGCCCTCCCCACCTCTTTGCATGCCAACACTCAACTCTTACCTGCTCCGGGGAGAAGTGGTGGGATGGAGGCTGGATCTACAGAGCAAGGTGGAAAGGCAGACTGTCTGGGGAGGCCCAGAGCAGCCTCGGGTTGGGCAGGAAAGGCTCCTCCGAGGCCTGAACCAGGCCAAGGACATGGGGCCCCAGCACCCTGGCCTCCAGCCCCACCGACGCCCGCACCTGTTCCCCCAGCAGGCTTCCCGGGGGTCCGTCCTCTGGCCTGCTGTGGCTGAGGTCCATGGGCACCCAGTAGCGTGAGGCCTCCACACCCACACCCTCCCTCCCTGCTTTCCCCAGAGGAAACAGCTCTTATCGGTGGTGGCTGCTCCTCACCCAGCTGCGGAAGTGAAGCTCAGCAGCGGAGGTGAGGGGGGTGCCACGCCGGCCTCGGGGTCTGCTGCTCCCTGAACAGCTCACCCCACACCCGGGATGCCCCCACCTAGCAGAGCTGGTGCCTCCGGAGCTGGAGGAGCAGGGGATGGGGAGTCAGGCCCACCAGAGGAGGGGTTCAGAGAGGCTCAGACCGCAGGTCCTCTCCACAGTGGCCCAGAGGACACCTGGCAGCCCCTGGTCTGTGGCCCATGAGGCTCTGCTCAGGGAGGGGCAGGCAGGGAGAGTCCCTGGTCCTCAGTCTCAGCCTTCCAGAGGTGGGGCCAGACAGCAGGGCACCCACACCGAGATAGAAGTTCTCCCCCAGGCTGGCTTTCTCCCCGGGTGAGGTCACTCCTACCTCTGGGGCCGTTTGGGGCAGAGGATTCTGTAGATCTTTCACTCTGCGACGCCTTATCTTGATGGCCTGGCGCAAGAGGGGAGGGCGCTGCTGCGGACGGGAGGGGAGTGTCGCCATGGCGGCCTTCTCTGCCCTTCCCTGTCTGCTGGTGCTGGGTGAAGACAGCGAAGCCACAGGATTATGCAAAGAGCCTGGGGCTGCCACCCTCTGCAGGGGAGGGTGGGGGGGGTGGACCAAAGGGTGAGGGTGTCACTGCCTGGGAGAGGCGGTCTCCCAGGTCCCCTGCACCTTCCCCAGCCAGGATCCCTGCAGGACTCTCCTCCAGCTAGAGCAGAAGGTGAACTCCGTGGGCAGGCCTGGCCCTGCTCCCCACTCCCACAGAGGCCCTGAGAAGGAGCCAGCGCTCTCAGCAGGCAGGGGGGCGGGGTGGCCAGAATGAGTGGGCAGCATCCTGCCCCATCCATGTGCTGTGCCCACGCTGGGCCAGGCACTGAGGGAAGCTGACATGGGCCCCAGGGGTTCTGGCCCCACTTCTCCAAGTGGGTCCAGACAGGGGCGGGGCGGGGCAGGGTGGGGTGAGGTGGGGAGCAGTGGGGTGTGGCTCATGGGGGAGGGGGCTCCTGAGAAGCATCTCCCTGGAGGGCAGTCAATTGCTCAGCCTGTTTGGCCTCACAGGTGACATTCCATGGAGATGACGGGGCCAAGCTGTGCCGGGCAGGGGCGGCTCTCTGGCCCCACCCCCCCAACCTTGGCGGTCAGGAGGGTGCTCCCTTTACATGCCCTTGAAGGGGGCTCAGTCAAGCCTCACAGAGCTCCAGGCCAGGCTGGCCAGGAGGCGGTAGAGTGGCCACTGCCTGATCTCTCCCGAGGACAAACTTGGCTCCCAGAGACAAGGAAATGCGCCTCAGCTCGGGGCTTTCCTAGAGCTCTGTGGCCTGCCCACGCTGTGCCCAGTTCTGGTCTCGGGACTTGGGGGCGTGTGGGCCTGGCCATGGCCTTTAGCCATTTCCCACCCTCCTGTCCCTCCAAGTTCATAGAAGGGCGAGTGATGTGGGTGGTGGCAAGCCCAGCTTCACTGCCCAAGTGTCCCTGTCACAGGTCCTGACGTGCTCTGGGCTCCTCCCTCCAGCAGCCAGGACTTGGGTCAGGGCTGCCATTCACCAAGGAGCCAGCAGGGGACGACGTGGTGGCCCGACCCCCTCCCATCCAGGCCGGGCGGCATCCACCTCTGTCCTTCAGGCCCTGGGGACTCAGTGGGGGAGGGACACAGCTGCTGAGCGATGACCACCAGAAAGGGATCCAGAGGCCAGAGCTGTCCTGGGGACCAGACAGGCGGGGCCGTGAGAATCCTCCCGTGGGAGGAACCATCCCGAAGCCTCCAGGGTCCTCAGCAGCCAGAAGGCTCTCTCCTTCCGAAAGAGACCCCCCTGGGTCACCACACGCAGAGCCAGAAAGGGTCCAGTTATTTCACTTTTACTATTTCACATTTTCAGCAAACAAGCCAAGGTGCAAACAGGGTTTATTTCACATTAATATATTAACTGGATTTTTTGTCAAATAAATAGGGAATTCTCTTTAAATAACCATCTCCTCACTTCACGGCCGGTCCAGGAACAAACAAGAGCAAGTGTTAGCGCATCCAGGGGCACGAACAAAGCTTCCGGGGGAGAAGCAGGCTGGCGGCCAGCGGCAGGTCCCGGGCGGCTTGCGGGGTCGGGGGCCCTTGTTCCCCGCCCACCCAGCAGCCCCCAAGTGGACAGACATGCATTCTCCAGTTGCAGTCAGGAAGCCCCTTCTAGAGGGAGGTGACAGGGGAGGGAATGCAAATTCCAGAAACACCAGCAGAAAGCAGAAGGGCTTCCTTCCAGCCTCAGCGGCCCCGCCCCAACACCACCCAAGCCTGGGAGCTCATTTTACAGCTTCAAAAGTCACACAGGTGGCAACAGCATGACGCAGGACAGGGAAGGGAAGGGAGGGTGGCTGAGTGGAATGAGAGCATGGTGACCTTCTGAGACCAGCACAGACCAGCGGAGGGAATGTGAGCGGGGCCTGGCAGCCCGGGAAGATGCCTGGCTGGTCTGAAGTGGCTCGTGAGGCTGAGTATAGCAGTGGCTGACAGACTGAGGGAGCTGGACTGCAGCGGAGGTGGTGGCCAGAGAGTCCCTTTGAGGGGAGAAGCTATGAAACAGGAACAGGGGATGCCCTGTGCTCCCAGGAGAACCCCAGATGGTGAGGGGGCACACTGGGCAGCGTCATGGGCTCCGGGCTGGCATGGGAAGCTGGGTGGCGCCTCTCCTGAGGCCAGGGGCCTTAATGTCCAGCGATAGTTCCTGGTAATTGTTTATGATCAGACCTGGAGGGACAACAAGGCACCCCCTCCCTCCTCCAACCCCAGTGCAGCCCTGATGGGAGGGGTAGGATAGAGAGATGAGGGTGGGAGGCAGGGAGGCAGGAGGGCCTACTGGGTCTTCTTATCTTCCGGTGGGTAGTAGGGAGGTGGCGGTGGCTGGCTCTAAAGAAGGAAGAAAAGGAAGATTCTCGTTAGGTTTGAAACAAGACGCAGTCTTCCCGCATAGTTCCCAGCACCTGTGGCTGTGGGGCTGCACCGGCGCAGCCGTGGCCTCTCACCGTGGGCATGTAGACGTTATGAGGGTTGCCTGGGTTGTAATAGGCGCTGGCGGCGGCTTCGGCGGCCTTGGCTTCAGCTGTGAGAGCAAACATACCCAGTGTCGGTGACAAGTTCTCCCCTCCTCCTGAGTTCAGCCAGAGACCCTAGGCTCCCATGGCTCAGGGCAGCTGGTGCTGGGGGTCCAGTCCCACCAATAAGAGCAGCAGGCGAGGCTTCCTGAGCACTTGCCACGTGCTGGCATCTCGTGTCTCACCTCAGCTAATCCCTCAGCCAACCCCACCAGGGTGCCACTGTGACCCGCTGAGTGCAGATGAGAGGACCAAGGTGCACAGGGTGACCCTCCCCGCCAAGAGCGCATGGCTGGCTAAGGGATGGGGGTTGGGCCGGACTCTAGCTCTGGACCACCAGCCTGCGGCTCTGCTGGGCCCCTGGGGTAGCCCAGAGGCCATCCATCCTCTGTGGCTCCCAGCAGGCTATGGCCATTCTGAGGCTCTCTGTGCGACCTTGGGGAGGAGAAGGCTGGTGCTGAAGGGCTGCCAGCACCCAAGAGCCCTCACCTGCAGGGGTGGAGGGGACATCAGGGCCGCTGACCGGAGGCTCCATGGGCCCGGGGTAGGGCGGTGGTGGGGGCTGCACATATCCCATGGCCCCATCCATCATGGGAGGTCCTGGATAGAACTCTGCGCGGCAAGAGAGCGATAGAGAACCGGTGAGCACCCGAGCTGTGGCCCCCTCCGAGGCAGGCTGGCACCCCTCAGGCCTCTCTGGCTCGTCAGTCCTGAAGCAACGCAAGGAGTGAAGTCTCCCTGGCCTGGGGGGAGCCTGCGTGGGTGGGCTCGTAAGGGGAGGGTGGGCAGCAAAGGACACACTCACCAGGCGGGGGCGGTGGATAGGGGTAGCCAGGAGGGCAGGGATACATTCCATTGGCGACTGGCGGGGGATAGACATAGGCCCCGCTGGGCATGTAAGAGTAGCCATAGGCTCCATTGGGGGCTTCACCTCTGGAGGCTACAAGTACAAGGGGAGAGAGAAATGAGCGGGGCCTGCCTGGGGTGGGGAGACGGCGGGCCGCTGCCTGCAGAGGGGAGCTACGGGTGCCCGGCAGATATGCCCTGCCCGCCCCACTCCACTTTCCACCCACGCTCGGGGCTGCCTTGCTCAGGGATGGGGTGATGAGGGGGATGGGAGAGGTCAGAGCCAGGGCAAGGCAAGGGTGGAGGGGTGGACAGAGGCCAGGAGAGCGGCTCGGGGCTGGGGCAGGGATGAGCTGGCGGAGGATGTCTGCTGGACCCATCGCTCAGTCATCTGAAATGGCTGCGAAACCGCAGTTCAATGGTTGGGTTGGGTGTGTGTTTTCTGAGGCCATCGTGAAAGGCCCTTGAGTCCAAACTGCTTTGTCAGAATGTCATCCAGCTGCTCCTGACAGAAGCGCAGCCTCTGAGGTACAGGACAGAGCTGAGGCCAGTTACAGCTTTTCTTCCCAACTCCTAGGCCTGGTCAGCCTGGTGCCCAGAAACTTACCTCCTGAATGCTTAAAAAAGCAAAACAAAAATGAAGCAAACCCAAACCAATCCCCCTCCATGAAGGTCTTGGCTCCTAATCTTCGGAGCCTGAATACCTTGAGATGCCACCTGGAGCATCCGCTGTCCGAACTCTATGGCGCCCCCTGCCGTGAAGGTCAGCTTGTAGGAAGCAGAGCCTTCCCAGCCACCTGCAAGGGGAAAGAGAGTGGATAAACAGCGCAGGCAAAGAAAATCCATGCCCAAAGAGATGGCTGTTTTCATCTCCAGGGCACTATCCAGTGCCCAGGGGGCTGCGGGGACTGGGCCTGCACTGTGATGGGGACTTCCCAGTGCCATGGCTTCCAGCCTGCTGCCTGCATAAGAGCCTGGCCCTGCCGTGCTGCTTTCCCCTTTGGAACAGGGACCTTTTCTTCCTGGAACAAGCCTGTCCTCCTACCCTGGCCCAATATGTCCCACAGGAGCCAAGGGCGCCCTGGTTTGGTTTTAGAACTAACATCAAGGTTTCTCTCCCTTCCCAGCCAAGCCCGGCAGCTTCACAGGAACAAGCCCACTTGGCATTAGCCCACCTTGATATTCACAGCAGACCTCTTGTCCTAAGGGGGCCCAAGGATGGACCCTGGCCCCTCTAGTTTGACTTCTGCACAAAGGGGGACCAAGAGCACCTCAATAGCAAGGGTAGGTCTGGCTGGGGGTGAAGGGGAAGGCGAGTTCAATGCAGAGGTCTCTGGGGCCTGCCAAAAGGCCAGCCCCAAAGCGGGGTGACCCTAGCTTCCCAGAGGCAGCTGCCTCTTCCTGGCTCTCAAGAAAAGGCCCCTCTCAAGAGCCTCACTGATGCAGCTCCTTCCTGAGTCTGACATTTGTATGCACTTGCCAAGTCGCACTAAGCATCTTGACTCAGTCTGCAGGCTTCTGTGGACTTCATGCTCTGAAAAGCTGATCTGAGCTGCCGTCTTTAACGCCAACATTTTCCCCAGCTCTTGGCGACCAAACCCCACCAGCTGGCAGCCCAGAGCTGGGAAGAGGTCACGGCTAGGGCGATAAGGGTCTGAAGGGGACAATTCCACAGTAGCAGTCAGAGGCTCCCACGGCACCTCCCTGGAGACCCCATCTGGGTCCCTGAGTCCCCAACACCTACCTCCCGCTTCGGCTTTCACTGTTCCCTTAATGTAGTTTGCACCAAACACGGGCTGCTTGATCTCACAGTCTTTCATGAGATAGAATGGCATCATGAAGGACTGCATGGCATCCTTCCCCTTGGACAGAAAGATGACCTACAGGGAGAGAGGGTGAGGCTGTCAACACCAGAAGCACAGCCCATGTGCCACGCTTCCTGCCTACTTCCTGGGAGTGACGAATCCACTCCCAGTGCCGGGGTCCAGCAGTCCCATGGCTCTCTCTGTGCCAGATGCTCTTGGAGAGAGCTCTGGATAGAGAAAGGGCTTACCGCAGCCTGGGGAGGCCAGGCTCAAGTACACGGGAGAAACATGTGCTGGTCAAGACAGTATGCGCAGGGCAGACTGCTCTGTCACTGACGGGGTGGTGGGGAAGTGGTGGCGGTGGTGCCTAAGTGAGGGGGTCACAAAGCTAGGGAAGGACAAGCAGTGGAGAGGCAAGGATGGGCTCCTGAAAGGGGGGGATCTCCAGCCTCAGCTCCTCAGAACTGAGAGTGATGGTGCAGCAGGTCGTTAGCTCCCAGCAAGGGGGGCTAGAATCAGCAAAACACACTCTCCATCTGTGCCCGAAACACCCCTTGGGTTTTATTTTTTATTATTTTTTATTTTTATTTATTTATTTTTTTGAGATGGAATTTCGCTCTTGTTACCCAGGCTGGAGTGCAATGGTGCGATCTCGGCTCACTGCAACCTCTGCCTCCTGGGTTCCAGCAATTCTCCTGCCTCAGCCTCTGGAGTAGCTGGGACTACAGGCTCGCACCACCATGCCCAGCTAATTTTTGTATTTTTAGTAGAGACAGGGTTTCACCTTGTTGACCAGGATGGTCTCAATCTCTTGACCTCGTGATCCACCCCCCTCGGCCTCCCAAAGTGCTATTTTTTATTTTTTTGAAAGCGTCTCACTCTGTCACCAGGCTCAAGTGTAGTGGACCCATCTTGGCTCACTGCAGCCTCAGCCTCCTGAGTAGCTGGGATTACAGGCAAGCACCACAACGCCTGGACAATTTTTGTATTTTTAGTAGAGACAGGGTTTTGTCATGTTGGCCAGGCTGGTCTATAACTCCTGACCTCAGGTGATCCACCTGCCTTGGCCTCCCAAAGTGCTAAGATTACAGGCATGAGCCACCACACACAGCCAGAGTTTTAAACCCATGACTTTAATCTGTGACTGAAGATGCCAACTTGAGCCTCCAGAGATGGGGTTTTGAGACTCCCCTGTCTCTGCTAAGTCATGGAGATTAAAACTTGAAAACGTGCTCCTCTTTTTTCCAGCTGTCTTTGAGTCTAAGTGTTTTCTTGGGAGGGGGCAGGGTCTCACTCTGTTGCCCAGGCTGGAGTGCAGTGGCATAATCCCAGCTCAATCCAGCCTCAGCCTCCCCTGGCTCCAATTATCTTCCACTTCCGCCTCTCAGGTAGCACATGCCTGTGCTAGCACACCCAGCTAATTTTTATATTTTTTTGTAGAGATGGGGTTTCGCTATGTTGCCCAGGCTGGTCTCAAACTCCTGAGCTCAGGTGATCCATCTGCCTTGGCCTCCCAAAGTGTTGGGATTACAGGCGTGAGCCACCACACTGGTCTGTCTCTGAGTCTGTCTTGAGCAGCCACGGCAGCAATCCTTTTCCAAGAACATCCATTTGTATTTCTCAACCTCTCAGAGTCCACGTGGGTAACTCTCAGGCAAGGCCCGTTCTGCAGCCTGGCATTTGTCATTCTGTGGGGCGGTACTGGGCTCTCTGCCTGGCCCAGAGGCTATGTCACATAACTGTACCCTGTTTACCGCACTTCTCATTCTGGATATGCACAAGGCTTCATGAGCTACTCTCACAGAAAACAAAATATTCACAATAATAATCTCTGGCCTCCAGGCCCAAGTCCTCCCAGCGGCTGCATCCAACTCTATGGAGATTTTGCAGCAGCAGCTCTGAAATTTACATGGGTTCACTGCCCAGTGGTCAGGTCAGTTACATGAAGAGGCTGGTGGTTCCAGAATCCAGGAGCATATGACAGAGAAATAGGCAGAGTGAGGCACTAACATTCGCCAGGGTTCAGAGGCCACCTATGAGGCTGAGGTGGACTTAAGGCTAAGACTCACATCACTAGACCAGGCTTAGTGGCTCACGCCTGTAATCCCAACACTTTGGGAGGCCGAGGTGGGCAGACTGCCTGAGGTCAGGAGTTTGAGACCAGCCTGGCTAACATGACAAAACCCATCTCTACTAAAAATACAAAAATTAGCAGGGCGGGGTGGTGCATGCCTGTAATCCCACCTACATGGGAGGCTGAGGCAGGAGAATCGTATGAACACAGGAGGTGGAGGTTGTAGTGAATCGAGATCACGCCACTGCACTCCAGCCTGGGTGGCAGAGCAAGACTCCATCTCAGCCGGGCGCGGTGGCTCAAGCCTGTAATCCCAGCACTTTGGGAGGCCGAGGCGGGTGGATCACGAGGTCAAGAGATCGAGACCATCCTGGTCAACATGGTGAAACCCCATCTCTACTAAAAATACAAAAAATTAGCTGGGCATGGTGGCGCGTGCCTGTAATCCCAGCCACTTAGGAGGCTGAGGCAGGAGAATTGCCTGAACCCAGGAGGCGGAGGTTGCGGTGAGCCGAGATCGCGCCATTGCACTCCAGCCTGGGTAACAAGAGCGAAACTCCGTAAAAAAAAAAAAAAAAAAAAAGACTCCATCTCAAAAAAAAAGAGAAAGAAAGAAAGACTCACATCACCTCCAACAGCAGCAACAAGCCTCTAAAGCAGCTGTCCTGCTGTACAACTCACCCGGTAAGGGGTAAGGTAGATGGTGCCTTTCTTGGTCCCTTTGAAGGCTTCTGGCACGTTCTTCATGTCATTGAATGTGAGTTCCACATGATCATAGGACATGAGGATGCTATGGTGAGAAGAGAGGAAAAGCCTTGGTCAGACAGTACGGAGATGTGGTATCACCCGGACACTGGGCCTTTCTCCCAAGCAGCTGTCCAGCACATCAGCTCTTGTAACCGTCTCAACAGTGCTGCATTACAACCATTCACAGGGCCAGGCACGGCCGGTCACACCTGTAATCCCAGCACTTTGGGAACCTGAGGCGGGTGGATCGCCTGAGCCGAGGAGTTTGAGACCAGACTGGCTAACATGGTGAGACCCTATCTCTACAAAAAAAAAACTGAAAACAAAAAAACCCATTACTATAGCCATGGAAGAAATGAGCAGGTTGGGGTTCTATAAGATTTCCCAAGCCCCGCTTGCACAGCCCTCACATGATCACCATTGTGGCAGAGCTACAGGGCTCTGGAGAGGCCATCAACCCCCAAGCAGGTTAGATAAGCTGGCTTAACTCTTCTATTTTCTTTTAAGTCCTTGTGATGTTGTTTTTGTTGGTTTGCTTTTCAAGCCTAATATATAAACACGTCTAAGAGATAACTGTACATATCACAATAGGACCACCTTTAGGGTTTGTTTAAACCTGGGTTCTTAAGCTGGTTCTGCAGGAAAGTCTGTCCATGAAGCCCTTGAGATGATCGTGTACGTCATATGTGCATTTTTCTGGGAGGAGAGTTCAGTTTTCATCATTCTCAAAGGAGTTCACAACTTGAAGAACAAAGTTCACTATTTATCAATTTTTTTCGCTTTTTTTTTTTTTTTTTTTTTTGAGATGGAATTTCACCCTTATCACCCAGGCTGGAGTGCTGTGGCACAATCACAGCTCACTGCAACCTCCACCTCCTGGGTTCAAGCGATCTTCCTGCCTCTACCTCCCAAGTAGCTGGGATTACAGGCATGCACCACCACGCCTGGCTAATTTTTTGTATTTAGTAAAAACAGGGTTTCACCATGTTGGTCAGGCTGGTCTCAAACTCCTGACCTCAGGTAGTCCACCCGCCTTTGCTCCCAAGGTGCTGGGATTATAGGCTTGAGCCACCATGCCCGGCCTAATTATCAAAATTTGAATACTGGACTTAAACTTCAATTGTTATAGACACAACTTATTCAGACAGGAGGCTGAAGCACTTTCTAAAACAAGGCACACCTTATTTAGCAGGACTGAGCCCTAAGCCAGGTAGAAGGCCCAGCAAGATAGATACACTCTTGTCTCAGAAAGTTCCACAGAGAGAGAAAGAACAACAGTCCCCAGAGATGTTGCCAAATGGTATGAAAATCTAGCCGGGCTTGGGAACTGACTCACACAGAGATGCAACAAGCCAGTGTGAGGTGTCTCTGATTACAGGATAAAAAGGTTCACACGGTTCTGTTTGTCTTCTGCCTCCCCCCCTATATCACAACTTTCTCTGACAGGGGAAGGGTAAGTGGGAAATCACTGGTATAAAAAAAGAGAAGTACCTCTCAGAGAAAAGAATTACCAGAAACAGGCTGCGCCCATCACACTCTGAGCAGGTAAAACGGAGGGAAAGTGAGCATCCTGTGGTCTGGGTCACTCTAGGCATTTTCCTCTGACTCATCAAACATTCCCAAGTCACAGGGCACCTGGATGCTGGCAAGGGTACAGGGCTCTGACTCCACCATGTCCCCTTTTGGGATGCAGGTGCCTCCTAAGCTCCTTCAAGGGGGTGGGCATAGTTCAACCCAGGGCTGGCTGGTCTGATTTTCTTATTTTTTTTTTTTTTCTTTTCTATCCATGGAATCATGGAATGGTGTGATATTCAATACTCACGGAACAAAAGAGAGAGAAGCCATTTGAGGAGCCCAGAGGTTGGAGGAGAGACAGAATGCAATGAGCAAGGGGTGGGGAGGGTGGAGTAGAAAGAACCTTGAATTAGGAGACCTCTGCCTTCAGGGGTGACTCAAACCAACAGGCATTCGAGAGAGGCAAGGGACTGACTTTAAGGACCCACACAGTGCCAGGAACTGTCAGACATCTGACAAACGTCACCTGTTTAATTTTACCTCTGGGGCCTCAGTTTCTCACCTGGAACCTGATCGGTTCTGGAACATACTGGAAACCTGCATGATGGTAGTTAATCCTATTAACTTTGGAGTCAAGACTCCTTCCCTGGAATTGCCATCTCTGTTACTTACAGAGTTGTGATTTCGGGCAAGTTACTTAACCTTTCTGTGCCCCACTTTACCTACCTGTGAAATGTGGACAGTAGTAGATTGTACCGCATAGAATTTTATTAAATAAGGTAGAAAAGGCGCAGAGTCTAACACGTAGTAAGGTTGTAGACGTTCAATAGACGACAATTATTTTTGTTTGGGGATCCTCCCAGCTACTAACGTCACAACTCTGGGAATGGGTTCAAGAATCACCCCTAGGCCCCACCGGTCGTCCCACCCCCAATTCCCAGCTGACAGCAACCTCCCGGCCCCCCCCCGCCGCCCGCTCCCTCGACACCCGAACTTAGGTCCTTCAGGATTCTTCCGCAGTGTTTTCACCTTTCGGTGTTGTTGACGATCACTCCGCCGCCCTCCGAGTGATTCTTGTTGAGCGCCATAGTCTCTCCGACAGGGGTCCCGAGACTCACAACGCAGTGCGCTTGCGCTCGTCTTCGGCCCGCCCCTAGTGGCGTCTTGTTATTAGAGTCAGCCAATCACAGCTCCAGCGCGGAGGCTGGCCCAACCACCTGACCCGAGCGTCACGTGGTAACAGTTTACTCCCTCTCCCTTCCCCCGTTCCGCCTGCGTAACAAACAAGATGAAGACTACAATTCCCAGCAGGCAACTCTCCCGAAACCTCGGCCTCCTCCTATGCTGGAGGAAGGATGCATTCTGGAACTTCCGACCATAGGCCGGAATTTGCTCCATAATTTGCATAACCAATCGGCTTGTGCCATCCCACCTCGCCTCCTTAGCGGGACTTAAGTAAACAGCCTTCTGGCAGGGGCGCAATCCTCGGGGTATGCTCGCGTGTCCGGGAAGTTTAGTCGGCTGAGTGCGAGCTGGACATGTTGTGGGATTCCCCGAGCAGTCCTCTGATAGATGGGGCGCCTTCGTTCACTCAGCAGACGTTTATGGGGCGCTTGTGTGACTCGGGCGTTTAGCTGAGTCCGAGGCCCCGCCTCTTGAGGACGCGGTGGGCTGGCGGCGTCGGATCACCCCGTCATCCGTCTCACCAATCCCAGCCCAGAGCCCGGGGGACAGGGAGAGTCCCACGACGGGAGGGGAGGTCGGGTGCGCCCCGTCTGGATCCCACCACGTTCGCCAGCCGGCCGGGCGCCCCTTGCAGCCTCCGCGCCGGCCTCGCGGTGGCGCCGTTCCCTCAAGGGCGCCCAGCGGGGGCCCGGCCGGAAGATTGAAGGCTGAGTGGGACTGGGCACGGCGCGAGACCGGCAGCCTCATAACTAGGACTTACAGAATAGGGCTGACTCATGCCAGCTCGTGACCCAGCCCTGGGCATCCTCCACGGGGCAGCTGTCATTCCCTAACCGCCCCCAACAAACCCCCGCACCTCCAAGCTGAATCCGTGAGGCGGAAAGAGGGGGCTGCACTCCCAACGTGGTGGTTCCACTACTCGTTAACCTTAAGGATCAGAGTTTGCTTTTCTGCAGACAGATGCTTTCCTGACCCGCGGGGGCCAACCTCGCGATCCACCTACTTGACTTCTTTTTCTAGGGAGGTCTCCTATGTGAAGGAACAAAACTGCCTCACTAGAAAAGATCAGGAAACAGCAGCCTTCTGCGAGGTCCTGTGCAAGACTAGGTTGGACCTTGCAGGACAAGTACAGTGGATTAAGGATGGTGATAATGAGACCTGCCCCAATGGTTAGATGTTTTTTGGCACCTGCAGTCTCTGCAGTCTTTAAAAAGAATGAAGTCAGACTATGTCCTGATATGGAAAGACTATCAAAGGTTATTAAGCACAGAATGCTGAATAAATATAGTATACAAAACGCTGTATAAATATGAATATAGTATAAATATAGTATACTGTATAAATATACAGAATGCTGTATACAAACAGGCTGGGTGTGATGGCTCACGCACTTTGGGAGGCTGAGGTGGGCGGATCACCTGAAGTCGGGAGTTTGAGACCAGCCTGACCAGCATGGAAAAACTCCGTCTCTACTAAAAATACAAAATTAGCCGGGCATGGTGGCACTTGCCTGTAATCCCAGCTACTCGAGAGACTGAGGCAGGAGAATCACTTGAACCTGGGAGGCAGAGGTTTCAGTGAGCCAAGATCGCCCCAGTGGGCTTCAGCCTGCGGGACAAAGGAAGACTCTGTCTCAAAGAAAAAAAAAAAAAAAAGGAAAATCCCCCCAGCAAAGGGTATATAGCATTGGCTGTTCTAAGGACCATAGATGGGAAGATGTCCCCTGCCCACCCCACTCCCACTCCTTTGCCAAATAGGTTGGAGGTATAAGCAGGTTCACGTTTTGCCAAGCTTTGAAGCTGATACAATTTTGGAGGCTCTTTTGGTTGTTGATGTATTTGTTTTTGCGACAGGGTTTCACTCTGTCACCCAGGTGCAATCATAGCTCACTGCCTCCACAGAACTCCCGGACTCAAGTGATCTGGAGACTTTTTTAAGAAATAAAATACACAGGCCAGGCACGGTGGCTCACACCTATAATCCCAGCACTTTGGGAGGCTGAGGTGGGCAGATCACCTGAGATCAGGAGTTTGAGACTAGCCTGGCCAACATTGTGAAATCCCGTCTCTACTAAAAACACGAAAAATTAGGCCGGGCGCAGTGGCTCAAGCCTGTAATCCCAGCACTTTGGGAGGCCGAGGCGGGTGGATCACAAGGTCAAGAGATCGAGACCATCCTGGTCAACATGGTGAAACCCTGTCTCTACTAAAAATACAAAAAACATTAGCTGGGCATGGTTGTGTGTGCCTGTAATCCCAGCTACTCAGGAGGCTGAGGCAGGAGAATTGCCTGAACCCAGGAGGTGGAGGTTGCGGTGAGCCGAGATCGCGCCATTGCACTCCAGCCTGGGTAACAAGAGCGAAACTCCATCTCAAA